ACCATGCAGCTAAATGTTCTGCTTATTTTTATAGCTTTTCATCAATTTTACTTGGTCAATATAACCTTCTACACTGATTACACAAACTCATTCTAAGTGTGACTTTAAATAAGCTCACAGAAGAGCACAAATACATGCTGATGACCTCCTGACCTCTTTGGCTATAGAGTTCTCTAGCTGCAGAAGCTGCTCCTCTTTCCTCCGCAGGAGACTGTTTCCTCTCTGAACCGTCCGCTCCAGCTCCGCCACACTGTTGGCCTCCTGACAAAGGGAGGGGAAATTCCCATCTTGTTAAAAAAAATTTTTAAAAAAATCAGATTGAGGTTTAACACGTGAGGCTCCCCCTTACCTGCTCAAGGTTTCTCATCGTCTCTTCGGTCGCTGTTCCCTGAGCGGGGTGGGCCTGCAGGGCCGCCTGCCTCTCCATCAGCCGGCTGCTCTCTCTCTCCAGGAAGAGTTTGGTCTTCTGGATGGAAGCGCCATGTGAGGAGATGTACCGCCGGAATCTGGACACGTAGAGGTGTGGGGATGGGAAGTGTTGAAGGTAGACACGCACCAAAAACTCGAATGTTTTGATATTTCTATCATACAAACATTAGAACTAGAAGCATGCACGCTTCAAAACAATGAAAGGAAGAGTTTTAATCAGTACAACATCAAGTCACTTAAACTTCTGGTATTAGTCTTATTAGTTAAGTAGCAGAGGGGGTTGTTACAGTTGTCAGTTTTAGCTGATTTAGTACTGATGACATAAACAACAAGTGCATAAGAGTGGTAACAATGAAAAAAAACCAAATCTGTAAGTCAGATCTGGGAGGAGCTCTGCTTTCACAGCATCTGTCATCTTATTAGGAGTATTCTACCTCAAAGGTTTTTCAATTTTTAGGATTCTGCTATTTTTTTAGATTGACAAAATGATAAGAACAAAATGCTGGAAAGTACCAAACCATAAAAAAAAAACCCTAATCTTGAAGAATTTATAACTGTTTATTCTGTGATCGGTACTGTGTGTGTGCTCCCCTTACTCATCCATGCTGCTGTTGCTGTCAGGTACAGGGGAAAGAGGCGGCTCCTCCAGGTCATCTACGTGTAGTGATGTGTCTCCTCTGTCAGTGGAGGCCGTCGTCGCCTTCTCTGCCTTCTTCTTTCTGTCCTGCTCTTGTTCCGGGGACGTGCTCGCCCCTTCACCTCGTTCCAGCTCACTGAGAAAACAACAGCAGACTTTTCACATGGAAACATATTTAAAGCCGTTTTAAAAGCTAAACAAATACAAAACAAGACAATTCTACATATGCAAGGCGACAGTCATTCTGTCATTTAATACTGAGGCAAATCTATGAGTACTAATCAGAGCTTTTATTTTGAAAGCTATTAGTGTAGGAAGCCTCTACCTGACTCTGTGGCTGAGGCGGTCACATCTTTCCTGCAGCAATGCCACCTTGGACTCCAGGTGCTCCTTGTCCTCCCTGGCTCTCCTGCTCTCTTCCCTGGCTCGGTCCAACTCCTCCCTGAGCCTCTCCTCCTTCTCCTTGGCCTCACTCCTCTCCTCCCTGGCTCTGTTGACGAGTTCTCTGGCTTGGGCTTTCTCTTTTCTCATCCTCTCTAGCTCCTCTCTCAGCAGGTCTCTTTCCTGGATCAGCTGAGGTAAGGCCTGACGGAGGAAAAAAGGAAAGTTGGCAGATCGCAAAGCAAGTGAATAAAATCTGTTCATTAGGAGAGAGCATGGCTTCACACCTCTATCTGTCTGTCCACTTCCTGCTCCTCTTCTCCAAGCAGCTTCCTCCTCCTCTTCAGATCTGCTGCCTGATAGGAGACAGAAATTGATTAGTCCATGTGGTTCAGATACCTCTTAACAGAGCACATATTGTTTAAAACAGACCTTGGTCTGCAGCATGGCCTCCTGGCTCTTCAGCTCTTTGGCTCTCAGCTCCAGCTGATCCCCCAAATCCTGCAGCTCTGACTGCTACACAAAGAGATAAGATGACTTAATTTTAGAAAAGGTTAACCTTTACCCTTCCTTGGCACAGCTTAGCAAATATTATATAAACTCCACCTCAGAGTTAGCATTCGTGTGTCTGTCCTGACTTACCTTGCGTGAGTGTGCCAGCTCAGTCTTTTGTATCTGTGCATCCAGCTGTAAGCGGAGCTTCTCCAGCTGGACAGCATGTGAGGCCTGCAATCGCTCTCTGTCCTCCTGCAGAGTGGACAGCAAGCGCTCCCTCTGAGCCGTCTCCTAGGACACAGACACGATGACGTGACTGATATAAGTATCCTGCTTGTTTATAAAAAAAAGCCTTGAGGCAAAAGCTTGTAATACTAGTCCACTGTTTAAAATTAAACACAAACGTGACACCGTGTAAGAAAAGCTATCCTTTACTTTAAAGTCCAAAGCATGTGTAGTGTTGTTTTAACAGCTCAGTCTCTCTTTTCCTAGATTCAGACCTGTTATACGCATTTCCAGATTGTTTTTTTCCACAGCCTCTCCTAGAGTAAGTTATTTAGCTCCTCTTAAAGTTCTCCCTGACTGAATCTGACCGACTCCTCTTAAACAGAAGATGGAAACAGCAGGTGAGTCAGTCTTCTATGCCTGAGCTGGCCAGATTAGGGAAATCTGCACTTACTAATATCATTTGGAGCCAAGAGTAGAAATAAACTGCCTCTTTAGAGCAGTCTGAAATGCTGATATGCCAATCAGATTGATATTAGCCATTTGCTGACATGTCATTTATGACATTTATGTACAAAGAAAGGAGAAACATCCTTCAACCATGTTATGAATGTTGATGTTGCATACTTTGTCCACCAGAGGGCACTCTGCAACTTTCCTTTTGACAAAAAGCTTGGTTGGAAACAGATGTTAGGAGCAGAGTCGGGTCGAGCATAAACAAATTCATTCACCTTCATCTTATTAAGCACTTATAAATAACGATATGTGGAAATCTGGTTATGTTTGGTGAATATCGTCTGAAAAACACTTTTTTTAATCGGTATCAGTCTTAAAAATATCAGCCAGGCTCTAGTCTGAAGATCATTTCTTGCTTGAAAGTTGGACTATATGTTTATAAGAATCTACGGTACAACTAAATCTGAAACGCCCCCTGACCTCGTCTAGATATTTCTCTCTTATGCTGTTCATCTCTCTCCTGTGGTCGTTCCTCAGCTGCTCCAGCTTCCTCTCGTGATCCCGCTGCACTTCCTCTCGCACTTCCTGGAGCACATCGGTCAGCTGGGCAGCGGTGCAGAAAAGGGAGAAGGAAATTTTTTTAAAAAGAAGTTATGACCCATTCTAATGCTACTAGTGCTTCACGCCCTTTAAGCTCATATTCACAGAGATGATGATTCAATGCTGTATAAAAATGTGTCCTCTAACCTCGCGGTGGTACTCGGCCAGTTGCAGCTCAGGCCGCGGACTCATCATTAGCTCCCTCCTCCTCTCTGTGCTTCTGACCTTTATACACACAAAAAAGTGCAAACACAGACAGATCATTAATCCGTGTTTGTTGTGTTTGTGTACTATCAAAGCAAACCCATGGATCGGTTGGTTTTAATGTTTACATTAGTATATCACATTACCACTGGCCACAAAGATCATTTGGCAGTTTAAACTGAGACCATTTAGATCCTGGCAATGTCTGTCTTTACAAAAACTAAAAAACAAAGCTACAACTGTGTGGTGACGCAGACACTTTAGGACTTTAGGTCATGGACATAAAATATGTTGGTATGTTAGTACCACTGTGATCAAGAATTCTTGCCCTGAGTGACAAGTCTAACTAGAAATGGAGTTACAAGGACTAGGTCACAACAAAACTGACTTCTGGAGTCCTCTCACTACACAAGACAACAAACATCCAGGTTTAACCTGCCAGCATCTAGTGTGAGTCAGTGGTTTGTTTTTCAGTCCAGATTGCTTCAAAACAACGACAATATTTGACTATTTACTGAACCCAACTTTAATCTTGATTTCTCCCATGGAAGCAGCTACAATACATTTGCTTCCTTCAGAACGTGTATGATCACTTTTCTATAAATCGCAATAACAACCTTAATAAATCAAGATAGGAAAAAAAACCTTTCACCTATCAGGGGCGGATCTAGAGAAAGTTTCGTAGGGTGGCATCAGGGTGGCATGGAAATCAAATGGGATGGCAAAATCTAAGCCTTTTTTGAAACACATATGCAGGTGTTACATACGGTTAAAATGACTTAAATGCAGTAAGTATACACATGTTTCATATAAATATAGTCTATAACTTAATTATTTTCTGTAGCTCACATAATTAAACTTTTACATAACACGTGAATTTTGACTTTATGTACTGTATAGCCTGTATAATAAATAAATACATATAAAAATATAGTTTTTTAATCAGAAGTCTGGATTTAGTGGCCTGTCATTAAAATTTAAAAACTGATGTATACTTTGAAGTCCAAACTTTCAACACAGGCTGAAATAGAGACTCAGCGTGGCTCCAGCTTGTTGCAGCTTAATCACATGCCGGTCCTGCAATTCGGAGGTGCAGCGCACACAGTGTTAAGAACAGTCACCTTCATTCCACCTTCAAAGTGTTAATACTATCTTATCTTAATAAACAACACCGTCATATGCAAAACTAGGGTGGCACTAGAGGTGGCAAGAGATCATTTTAGGGTGGCACATGCCACCCCATGCCACCCCTCTAGATCCGCCCCTGTCACCTGTGACACAACAGCCCCGGTTTGAGTTCTCTCACCTATAATAAATTATCCCCCACATGGAGACAAGATTAATCACAATATAAAAGCAAATGTGTACTTTATTTCAGACGGGTATATGACACACAGTGACACAGTTAGTTTAATAGGATTCTATTAAAGGGATACCTTCTCATAACTACATACAGGATGTGGCCTCTATAATTATTAAAGCAGCTATCAAAATATAGCCCCCACAGTAAGAAAAAACTCTCACCTCATGCGTTACATGTCACATTTTATTCTAAAAGTTCAAGCATTACTGCTCAGCAGTCCAGTGTCTTCTTTCTCTTACTTGCTTCATAATGTGTCAAATGTTTCAGAAAGGTTAGCATTGTTACTGCAGCATGAAGCCATGCTGCAGTAACAGATGCAGTATGCGGTTTAGCATTGTCTTGCTGAAATATGAAAGGCCTTCCCTGAATCTGGATGGGAGCAAGTGGTGCTCTAAAACCTGCCATTTCCATTCCATCACAGATGCAGGATTTTGAACTGAGTGCTAGTAATAAGTTGGATGGTCCCCCTCCTCTTTAGGCCAGTGAACACTGTGATTCATCTGACCTAAATATCCCTATAAAGACGAGCTGTCTGAGGATAAAAAAAATCAGCAGCATCATCAGTTACCTCCTGTTTCAGAGAGTCCAGTTTCTCCTCCCTCTCTCTCTGGAGCCTCTTCTTCTCCGTCTCCAGCTCTTCTTCTAACTCCGCCTTCAGTCGCTCGATGTCCCGTGTCTTCTGGGCCTCCAGTCTTTCCCGCGCTGCAGTTTGCTCTTCCTCTAGAGTGACACGTACCTCCTTTAACAGGACTTCACTCTCTTCCCTGCACACGACGCAGATGTTAATGTTAATACGGGGATTGTGTTTTTTCACTTCTTTAGGGGCGACTGTGCTGATGTGTGTTAAGTGTTGACCTAAGTTTGTGTTGCTGCTGCTCCCTCTCCCTCTTCGTAGACTCTCTGAGCTCCTCCAACGTTCTGTCAGACTCCTCGTTCAGCCTGGTCTCCTCCTCTCTCCTTCTAGACAGGAGGTGCTGCCGTAAAGCCCTGAGGGAGACGCATGTAAATTCAGAAGCATTTGTGTATGTAGTTACAACAAAAAAAAAACCTTTGGAAGTAAAGGAGCTTCATCAATTCGCAGATTCACACCTCATGAAATAATAACAATAAAGAGCAGGAAGTAAACAACGCAATACAAAAACAAATTTAAAGGTGCTGTCTTTGAGTATGACCTCCTACCAACCTCAGTCTTTCCTCAGTCTCCCCCCTCAGTTTCTCCTCCTCCTCCTCCTCTTCTCTTTTCAGCTCTTCCTCGAGGAGACGAATCCTCTGTTCTTTTTCCTTAGCTATGCGCTCATTCTCCTCCTCTATCTCTCGGTCAACTTTCCTCCTTTCCCTCTCCATCTCCTCTCTTTCCTTCTTACTCCTCTCCTCTCTCTCTAGCCTCTTCCTCTCCTCTTCTTTCTCACTCTCTTTCTTCTCCCCGTCTTTCCGGCTTTTTCCTCTCGGCTCTTCTTCCATAGCCCTCTCTTGTTTTTTTAAGGAGCGTTTAACACCATCAGCTTGGATGCTCGAAAACCGTGCCTGTCGGCCCCTGGAAGTTTCAGGCCTCTCAAATCCCAGAGGTACACCGAGGCCCTGAGCCGTTTGCCTGGGGGTGACAGCCTGGTCTGAATGCGAGGAGATGGAGGGTGACGGTGAAAGGCTGGACTGGTGAAGGACAAGCCGGTCAACTTTATGCACTGTGGATGTGTCTCTGTCTTTGGCCAGCACATGGCTAAAATAAAAGAATGAGAGCAAAAGAGTTAAAAGGTGCTGTATTTGTTCATCATAATTCTATGAACAGGCAAGATGGGCATAAGTCTAAAGCTTTCTTTATAAACAGTAAATGTGGTAAAAAGTGGATGTTTCTTTACTAAAAAAACAAAATACACCGAGTGCTAAGTGCAACTTCTTAAGAGGATAAAGTCACATAAAATCAACAAAGCAGATATTTTTGAGGACCAATATGTAAACCAAAGGCACCTCTTGCTGCCCTCTCCTCCTTTCCTTTCCCACTTTTCTCCTTTCTCCTCTTCCTTCTCCTCTGTGTCAGTTTTTTCCAGCGGACTGACAGCATCAGACAGATCGTTGATGTCCAGAGCCTTCTGCGACAGCTGAAAGACAGAGTTTGAAATCTAAAAATCATTTAGATGTGTCGCAGCTGCAAATTTTTGCTTTTTTTTTTTTTTTTTACACTGGAAGAATAAAAAGAGATTTATGCAGTTAAATGAAAGGGAAGCTTTTTGGATTTTGAAATTCTAACCCAGAAAAAGAGATTTATTTTCTGAACCCTTTAGACCATTATAACTTGTCCAAGCCTGCCTATCAGTGGAACACCACAAGAAAAAAAAGTGTCATTGTCCCCATATAGCCTGTTATTAAAATAAATAAAATGTAACACCTCGTAAAGGCTTTTAAGAGGCTTTTAAGATGAAATGAGTCGGCTTTTTAGGACCGTGCCATATTTAGTCTTGGGGGATTTTGGGGGGGTTTGTTTTGGCTTTTTGAGTCATAGGCTGGCACAGTAGGTTGAATGGTAAATGAGTTATGGTGCATACCTTGTTATCTATGGAGGACGACGCCTCCTCAATGTTCTTACTGGCTTCAGAATTCTGCAATAGTACAGACAGTAATCATGTAACGTTCTCGCTGATAACCTATGTCTAAACAACTGAACTGCCCACAAGCAGCACTGGACATCCAAGCATGCTGTCTCTACCAAAGCCACAGAAAGACACTAAGGGTGATTCCAAGCTACAGCCTACATGCAAACACAACCAAGGCCAGACTGCAGGCAGGCACACTGCAAAATCATTGTGCAACTGAAGCAAGCACGCTCTGCAGGTGAAGGGCAAGGTTGTGGGATATGACAGTTCTGTCTGAACAGAAAACTCAAACCAGCAACCTAAGGTCAGGTCAGCTTAATAAGTCTGCACTGTCAATGGGAAAATGCTCCAATCCAATCCTCAGGGGCTCAGATAGATTGACCTTTTGCCCGATTTATCATTCAGTGTGTGAATGAAGACTTCCAGGCAGGAAGTCGCAGGGCAAGTAGCAGCCCCTAAGGCAGTGGAGTTGGAGCCTGAGAGCTACATGCACCTGCTTGCAAAAATCAAGCAAGACTAAGACTGAGAGGCAAAACAGAGGTACAACATTGGACCCTACCTCTGCAGGAAGGGAAGAATTTTTTGTCACATTTTTCATCTTCCGATCATTACTGGCTGGTTGGTCATAAGCCCCTTCCTCTTTAAACCTCTCTATAACCTCCTCCTCCTCCTCCTTGCTGTCTGATGCTCTCTGGCCAACTGAGTCATCCTCTAGCTCCACTCCCCCCCTCTCTGTGTCTTCTCCTTCGCTCTGTACACATCTTTCCAACACCTCATCACTCTCTGTCAGTTTCCTCCGGCTTAGAGAGCACCTCTCCAAAACCTTATCGCTCTCCTCCTCCTGCCCTCCATTGCTACTGGTCGCGACCTCCTCTTCCTTTCTCTCACTGTGCCCTCCGTCACTTACAGTTCTCTCAAGCTCATCCCTCTCTTTGTCAGTTCTGTCCTCCTCCCGACTTACTCCACCTTGATCACTTTTGGAGGACTTCTTTACGATTTCACTGCTACCATCCTCACATTCCTCTTCTTCTATGCTTTGCTCCTCTTCTTTCCTCTCTCTGTCTTCATCTTTGTTCTCGTCCTTATCTTCACAGCACTCTTCCTCTAGCTCATTATTTTCATCTTCCCCTTTCTTGTTCTCTCCAGCCGCTTTACTTTGAGCATCCTCTATCTCTTTCCCCTCCTCTTGGCTTTTCCCATCTTCCTGTCTACCTTCCACATCTCCTTTTGTCTCTTTTGCTCCTTTTTCATCTTTGTCTAATGTGCTACCCTGCTGCTCTTCTTCCTCTGCCTCATTTAACTCCTCTGCTACCTCCTCTTCTGAGTGCTCAGCAGAGTGTTCAGGATCAGGAGTGACAGCATCAGCCCCTTCCTCACTGACATGATTTCCACTGCCTGTCTGTGGAGAGAGTTGGCTGTGGCGACCCTTCAGAGAATCCTGGGTGGAAGATAATGGGAAGAATGGTCCATCCATCCCAAACAGAGGCAGAAAGCCAGGCATACAGAGACATAAGGGAGAGAAGGGAAGGAGGAAGTAAGGTGAGGAAATGTGCCAAAAAGAAAACAAAAGAAATCAAGTGAAAGATGGTGAAGGTGAGATGTTCTTGAAACATGGCTACATGCAAAACTGACACATTGTTAGGCAGTCAGCACATAAAAATAAATCCACCAAACAAGAACATGCATGTCTGCACAAACAAAAGACACAAACATTGTTGTTCTGGGTCTCACATTCAAACACAAGCACAAACACGGGGGATAGTTCGAGCAGGTGTGTTTTATGACTGTGATTTCCTTGTCTCATCACTGAATCAGTACACCTTTACGCTGAGAAATCAACAGGAAATTCTGTTATTCTCCCCCAAAAACACACCAAAGTTATGATTTTGGGTGCAAGCCTTGATTTGGTGAAAAAAATAAGTCTAAATAAGTTCACTACAGGTAAAGAAGCTAGTGATACAACTGCATTTACACAGTGTTTCTCCTTATTGATCCCTTCAGCATTTAAATCAGCCATGCAGCATGATTCACTAAGGTGCATATAAAAGAAGCAAAGGTGCCTTAAACCGGCATTCCTTATAAATAAATCAGCAGGAGGCGACTCCTCCAGTCATGAAAAGAAATCTAGTTATAGAGACATCTAAGAGAAAATGACCCTTCAGCTCCCTGTGAATTCTGCAAACACTTTCTTAATGAGCTAATAGACTTAATTACTAGTTTAGTCTTACTCAATCCAACATAATGTTCACTTTGTCCCCATTAGAGTCAAGAAAGATGATAGAGCAGGGTAAGGGCACACAGTGTCCCTCAGTTTCTCAGTCAGACTCAGAACTCGAGTCCAGTATGAAGACAGAGGCATCGCAGCTGGACATTTGGCTAACACAGTGGGTTATGTAATTATTACTGGGTCCATTTTAACCTCACATGGCAACAATAGCTGTTGCTAGGGAAATGCTGCACAAGAGCACGGAGCACATAGCAGAAATGAGACAATTTTCTCAACTTGTGTTAATTTATTTGGCATGTGAGGAAAAACTGGTTTTATTTGAAAGGAAAACTCAACCTCCTGAAACATCCAGCTAAACTAGAAGGAGTCTGACTTCATGAAGCCAAGCGTGGCTTTATAAACTTGTTTTTTCACATAAGCATCACTTGCATCAAAAAAATCTTTCATCAAATCTTAAATGAAATCCTCAAATTTTGTATTTTTTTCAGAACCACAGAGCACATCACTGTTCTACTAGACTACTTTTGCTAGCCGAACATTTTACAGAATATTCGTTTAGCTCAGTCGGATTAGCAGGCGACCATATGCTGTACGGCTGAGAGCCGGCGGCCTGGGTTCAAGTCCGAAACGTGGCCCTCCGCTCTCCTGTCAGTCTTCACTTTACCTATCCAATAAAGCCATAAAAAAGAAACTGTTGCACAATCCTTAGGGAAAGGCTACAAAGTATCTGTCACTGTCCAAAAACTTATGGACCCTTCTGTACCCTCTCCTTGGTCTACTCTTCCACATTTGCTTAGGGCATAAAAACTACACACATATTAGGTCTGTCAGACTTCAAGAACAAAGATGCGCCCGCGTTCTCAACTTTGAAAGCCAACAGTGCTGCTTTTGGTGATTGTGTTTTTCAATATAGAAATAAAGCGTGTCACAAATTTGTGCATCATTAGTAAGTAAATTGCATTTTATCCCTCAACACTTTTTTAAAATTTAATTTGCCCTGATTAACAAACCTGGCCGTGTTTGTATTATATATACATGTCAGAAAAAAAACAATTTATATGACTTATTAAATGACATGATATAAATACAACTGTTCAGTGGTGATGGTAAGGAATTATACTGTGAATGATATACTTAAATAAATAAATTCATGAATGAGTTTTGATGGCAATGGCCCATGCTCTTGCTGTTTAGAGAGCAAAGCAGTAACAGTGGCAGTAGGAGGACAGAAGGACAAAGAGGAAGACACAGTAACAGCCGTGCCCGTAGGACAGATCCCAGCAGCACAGCAGCTGCAGGGACACACATGGGTCACAGTGCAAAGGTGAAAGGTTCAAAGGTCAAAGAGACACAAGAGAAGCAGAAATATATGGTTTAGAGACCACAGTTAGACGAGACAACAAGAAAAGTCCCTTTTTGTAATCATAAAAACACTTATAATAATATATAGCACCAATACCCATTAATAACACTTCTAGTTAAACAGGCACTGAAAATACAGCAGTGTTTGTGTATTTTCTAAATCTCTCACACTGCAGTTTTACCAGAGGAAAGGTACCCGAGACCCCCATTCTTCACAAACATATTCTGAAACACAACAATCATTATAATACCTCAAATGTGCCGCACATTAAACAACACACCACAGCCGTTCAAAGACACACACACACACATACACAAACACAGGTAAAGGGGGCAGAAGTGGCAGAGAGGTTTTACTTGTTGACAGCGAGAAAGAGAGAAATGATGCGTGGACTCTGTTGTGTGCTTTTACTTGTTGTGACTGCAGTTCAGGGCTGTGGTCACCAGACAGGCCCAAATCCTGCAACTCGGGCTCCGTCCTCTCCTCAGCTGGTGCTGCGCAAGTGGCATCACTTTCCTGCAGTAAACATTTACACAGGAAACTTTAACACTGACACTGATAAACCATTAATTAGGAAACATAATTATACTTTCTATAAATGAGAAGGTGCATAATGGTCAATGCAGTTATTTGTGCCTAAATTATGAATCAGAGTAGTAAAAAGCTAGTAATCCTGTCTACCTCATACTTTAGGCTTCCTCCGAGGGCATCCAGATCCAGGTGGAGATTCTTCAATAGTCTGTCTGAATCATGAGGACTTGGCTGGAAAGAACAGTCGCTGGTTACAGAAGGACGTGAAGTGTATTTCCTGGGAGCTACAGGAAGCTAAACCAACCTCGTTTTCTGAGATTTTGTCATCATCACTGTCAAAATCGGGAAAAGTAAATGACACTCTCTCTTCCTGTCGGCTGCCGAGTATTCTGGTTGCTCCACTGGTTCGAGGAGCCTGAAAAAGAATGAATGGAAGTAAGAGATTCAGATGGGATAAAAAGCGAGAAGCACGCCATTTCATCCATAACATAGCATGATGGTTCTTTTACCTGTAGGGGTTTCTTGAGGGGTTCCAACCCCCCGGAGCTGCCGAGAGACCCCCGCAGAGCAGGGGCAGATCCAGGGAGAGCGCTTTGGCTGGGGGCATCTAGACCTCGCAGGGGAGCCAGGCTGGTAAGCGAAGATTGCAGAGGTCCCAGAGACGAACTGAGGGCCTATAGGAGAAGAGACGCAGTCGGTGATGTGAGCTCTCGCTTTTCAACAAATCCTTTTTTAGGAATGCATCGTGTTCTCTGACATGGAAGTCTAGTTTTAATATTGCAGTAGAAAGAAAATGTATTTGGGCTCTTTAGATGTTTATATTTTAATAACGTAATACCACTAATTAGACATTTCCACAACTCATTCTGCAGCAGTCCAAAATTCCAGCCTGTGACATAAAGAACTCTCTCAGTCACAGGGAGAACACAGAGTTCTGCAGCAGATGGCCCGGACCCCAAGAGAGCCCCGATTACAACACGGAGTCAGTGGGGATTATGCAAAAGCAGATGCAGAAGACACTGAGGCAGCATAACACTATATAAAAACATTGATAAAGTGTCCACAATGTTAGAAACTGATTTTGCAAAGTGTGCATAAAAGGACCTTGGCGGGCTAAATCTGAGCATTTTTAAGGGCTAATTGAAAAAAACAACAACAACAACAACAACACTGACAACACGACGGTGGAGCAGTGGTTAATCTCACAGCAGGAAGGTGTTGGGTTCAAGTCAACCATCTGGCCGGGGCCTTTGTCTGTAGGTTAGTTTAGTTGATGATTCTAAGCTGCCCACAGGTGTGAATGTGAGCATGAATGGTTGTCTGTCACTCTTTGTCAGCCCTGTGACAAACTGGCAACCTGTTCAGGGTGTAGCCCACCTCTTGCCCTATAGCAGAAGGGATTGGCTCCAGCATGGTTAAGTGAAAGAAGCTGGAAGGATGGAGGTTGGAGTTGTGAATTTCAAACTTTAAGAATCAACAGGCTAACCCTTATGAGCTCAGAAAACCTTCCACTAACCCAGTAACAAACAGTAGTTTGTTGTTCGGCTACAGTTTTAGTAGTGAAAATACGAACACACACACACATATACATACATGTTTGTCCCTATAACCACTTAATCAATCTATACACATCTTATTTGCAGTCCATTATACTCTGATGCCATGTTGCTCGATAAGTAAACATAAACGTTTTGTCTAAAACAAGAAGGAAGAAAATAAATCAATAAAACCACTCACCCCAGGAGTTTTAAGTGGTTCCTTCTTCTTCTTCTTTTCTTTCTTCTTTTTCTTGTCTTTCTTGGCTCCTGCGCCCCCAGCTGTGGCTGTGAGCTGAGCTCGCTCACGCTCCTGGGCCACCAGGCGTCGGTAGTGCTCGTCACAGGGGTGATCCCAGGTGGACTGACCCGTGGAGAAGTTGAAGTAGTAGATGTCCCCTGTCACGTCCTGGCTGTGGGTAAGGAGAAAGGAAACGGGAGTCATTCACTGTTCTGTTCAGTCTTGAGTCACCCCACATTTCTTTATAATTTTACTTTGAAGGCATCAGACATTCTTGAAATGATTTAAAATGGTCTTGTGCAACAACACCATTAACACCGATCTTACAAAACTGAAGGGATGAACCAGTGTGGACAACTAAAGCAAACCTGTTGTAGGAGGACAAGCTGGTGGTGATGGATGGATCATATAACCCCACCGCCTACATTTTTATGTCCATTAAGCATTACAAATGATTATTATGCTATAACTGTCTTAATAATTATTTATGTTTAGTTAATACATTCAGTTAAAAACCATAGAATCCATTCTTACAGTTAACACCACTCATTGAAGACATCATAATGAAGCTAAATTATACAAAACACATGAGCCAAAAATTAGAAGGATGGCTATGTTAATCTATTACGTTAATCTATCATCTATCTACAAGTAATAATAACTGCTTTGTAAGCCATGTGTTGCTGGGTTAGAGGCATTATTTTGTCAATAGCTCTGATGTCTCCCTGGAGAATTTGGTAAGAGATGGTTGCTACACACTTTGGCCTTCAGTTGTCAACAACAGACCCTCACTTGTAATGAGCTGGAAATTACACCACAATCCACACCTTTGAAAACACTTTGTAAAACACCTGAATTTGCCAGAGCATACGTGAAAAGGGACTTATATCTCTGGTGCTTGAGGTCCACTTACCAAGGCTTCCACTTAGGAGGCAAAGGGGCGACAATGCCCTCCCTTGCCAGCCACAGATGCTCGGGCTCATTGTTAGGGTCAATGCCAATCTCTCTTGCATACTCTTGGATCTCTGATCAGAAGAAAAGAAGAAGAGCTGAATGCAAAGTATACACCATCATGTAACATAGTTTTGGAAATCTCCAGAATTTAAGCCATAAAGCACTGCAGCTCTGCATGAGCTCTGTTTATGGAACCTGAATGCAACACGTTCCAGACTAATATTAGTTCAGTGTTTAGGTGTGAATAAACACAAGTAAGCCACAGTGCAGTTTAAATCTCATCAACTGTGCTGTTAAATGATGCTGGGGTACCTTGTTCAGAGGGTATATAATTCTCATCGTATTCCTCTTCGAGGATCAGCTGGTCTCCTACTAGAGCAGCTGCAGTCATGGTTACTGCAGAGACAAAACATAATTCACGCACATATTATAAAACAATGGCGACACCGTTTGCGTCAACATCTCTTTTGAAAACGGCAGGTTTTACGTTCTCGTTTAGCTAAAGGGGTAAAATTTACACATTAGCTAACTTTTGTCGCATATTTGTTGTACACTGACTAACAATGTTTAGCATGGGGAAAAGGGCTTCTTGGCTAAAGCCACAGTCAGCATAAAATCAACATATAATCCTTGCTGAGGACAGCAATTAGGTTCGGGGAGTAGAAGGAGCGAAATAAATCTAATTAATCTAACGTTAGCATCTCAGCTAATTTCAACGTTAGCGTAACGTTAGCTCAGGAAGCTAAGTAGTTGGAAAGCAGATTAGAGCCGAGCCGTTTACCTTCCCAACTTTAAATTAACCTCTGTGGAAGCAACGCTTATCTGTCAGTTCTTTGACGGCGGCATTGTGCACAAAAGATGCGAACGTTACACTCCTAACAACATCTCCAAGGACGCTTCCTTCGTTTCCTGTTGACGATGGAGACGTTTGAATCTGACTGGCTGAGCCACTCGAGGCGTTCAATGTACTCGGAAACTCAGCAATTGTCAGTATATCCAGTTTATGTATATTACAGTACATGGTGAAATTAGACTTTAACAGAGGTGTTAACGGTGAGTATACTGTCATTTATTTTAATTTACGCATATAGACTCAAAATAAAAATAAAATGTCTGAAATATATGAATAAAATCTGTTCATATGATACGACAACGTTAATATGAACGGTATGGTTCCCAAAATGGTTTTGAGACTTGCTATGATGTATCTCTTGGAGACTGGTACTGGCAAAAACACACGAAGCCGAGCTATAGGTGATAGAGTTGAGGATACTCACTGACCATAATGGATCAGATCAGAAATATATCAGAGGGACGGCTCAGGTTGAGCATTTTGGAAAAACAGTTACAGAACCAAAGCTATGAAGGTTTTGATATGTGCAGAGGAATGACAGTGGATTTATTAGAGTTTTCAGGCAGAGAAAAAAGAGGAAGACCACAGAGATGATTGACGGGTGTAGATAAAGAGGACACAGAGAGAGGATTGATACAAAAAGGGAGAATGGAGGGATAGACTGAGAAAGAGGCAGATGAACCACTGTGGTGACCACTAAAGGGACCAGCCAAAAGAAGAAGAAGACGAAGAAGCAGATTCTGTACTATGTATGTTTCCATGTGTACAATATTTTGCAGTGCACCTGAAAGCACCAATAGTTGTACAGCTTCAACCTGCCCTTACTTTATTTTCCAAGAGTTTGGGGTGTAGGTGTGTGTTGGAGGGAACAAACCTTTAAAGGGGCTCCAAGCTGAAACTTCCTAGCTCTACATTTTATTAGTAATTCTTACACCGGGATGACTACCACATCCATCCTCCTCTCGCTCATTCCTCTTGTGTATTGTAGGAGTAAACTAGGACTGAAATAGCTATGTTATCCAGTTATGTGATATTACCTTTGAAGAGAAAGATCTTTATGTAAGATAGATTTTCTACCATATCTGTGGTGAAATTTAAAAATCTATTCTAAATCCCCAAGTTCCCTTTTTTAACATGTCCCTTTTTAGGTCGAAGGTCACAAGGCAGCAGTTGGATCTGTTGTTGGCTCTCACACACTGGATGTGAAACCCTTTCTCTGTTTTGGAAATCACATGGAAATAATAAAACTACTCTCCCCCTGCTAATGAACAGAGCTCCATCGTTAACATTAATGTCACAAAACAAAGACAATCCCCCCAAAAAAGAAATCAGGTGGCAAGAAAGAAACTCCCAACCTTTTAGCACTTCATTGTGACAACTGATTCAAAGAGCTGCTCATTGTCAAACATGTGCTAAAACTGCTTTAATGGGACCCAGTTTATTTTTACAGCAGGGCAAGGCGATGTGGTTTGCAGGCGTTATTGTAGGGGGAGTTAAGTGTGAGGATCCTGTGGTTGTGTCAAATGGCACTGTTTGTCCTCTGAGCTTCTCACTCACTCCATCAAAAAGGCGTTGCCAAATGAAGCTTTTTTACAGATCCAGAGCCAGGATGTGATATCAGATGCTTGACACCTATCCCATTCAGCCCTTTGTTGACTGCTGTTTACAATAAAGTAGCTCCCGCAATATTTATTTATTTTTTACACTGTTACCAAGTAACATTTGCACAGAGGATTATAGGATTGTAAGATTCAGAAATATCCTAGCATAATGACCTAGAGTCTTAACCACAAGAGGGCAGAGGAGAGAGAGTACACAGCAATGTCCAGACCCCTTTCTGATAAACAGCAGCTGTATTAATACACTGAAAGGACTAAATTATTCTAAATCTTTGGCTCAACACGGTGCCAATTATCTCTCAAGTTTCCAAATACTCCCTATTCTTCTTCGCTCTTTTGAGTTTATGGCTTCAGTCATTTTGCTCTTAAGCCACGCATCACATTAGTAAGAAAAACACGGTCACCTCTCTAATGACATGTGTTCAGCAATACATATTACGCAACAAACTCCCAGAGTATTGAGAAAAAATGCCCGGGTTCAGGGGAAATGGCTTTTCTTCCCCAGCGTTTGTTTGCTTTGTCTTTGGTGTGGGTGGTTTGCTTCTAGCGTCAGGGTGAATAACCTCCATATCTTGGGGCAATGGCAGCTAGAGGACCACAAACTGGCCTTGAAACTTCCATGATCACCTCAACACCCACGCACATGTGCACTTCTTATGCGAGGCTGCGATGCCATGTAGGTATTGAAAAAAATAAAATAAAAAAGCAATGAAGGTCGAGTGCATGTACACCAGGTAAGCGGAGCCAGTAAAAGTCGAGACGTCCAGATCATCACCAAACTCTTTGCTTTCACTTTTCCATGAATTTAAAGAGCCACATGTTCCTTTTCTGCTGAAAGGTCCTAATTGTGTACTAATTATCTATGAGCAGTCCTCAGAACAGCAAACGACTGCAGCGCCTCATAAACAGGGGAGATAATGTTCCCTATCAGAACGGCTGGCATGGGAGATGCCCTGGTGTGTCCTCGTTATTCTCTGATTACGTGAGCATTTGTCAAGCGAAAGAGTCTGTGTGTGTAGAGACTTACAGTTAAATAAGAGTTATCAACTGTATATCACCATGGCTGCACTTCTCAGGTTATTCGAGTTCAGATTTTCTTGCTGTCAAGCTGTACAGCCCACAGGGCGATGCAACCTACAGTGACACTCTCCATGCAGGGCTCTGGGCCAAATATCTGTATTAAAACCAAAGGGGCCTCAGCAGCTGTGACATTGCAAAACTACCTACGGACAATTAAGGAGACGTGCGTATGGCCGACCTGAAGCGGCGTGTATGTGTTTGACAAAGCCAGTGAGTGCGCCACACTGTTGCTTACAGCTGAGATAACCTCCCCTGCTGATCAGAGAGCAGTGCTCCATCATGGAGGCAGCTGGAACAGTGACGTGACCTTTGAACCTCAGCCAGTGCCTGATCAGACGGTGGGTTTGAATGATGAAATATTTATCAACGTTCTCTGAAGAAATGAGGCATACATTAAAACTGACTTGAAAACTAACTTCTTCTTTTTTTGCCACAAATATCTACGTCTCATAGGGAAATCAGGATAACTCACCTACTATATCCCCTCAAACGACAAAGACAGGAGCTCCAAGAAGGGCATCATATCAGAACTTTCTGTTTGCATAAGAGTTCACTTATATATGCCTCGTTCGTGGAAATCTCAGCAGAGGATTGAAAATCAGCTTGTTTTGGAACTCATATGCAGATAATGAATGTTCAAATTATGTTTATTAAGCATGTATATTGTCTGACAGTGTTTTTAATAAGCTATAATGAGCTCATTTGAGCTTGGTTTTAACATTATTCTTACTCCATCAGAAGAGTTGAGTGTTGCTACACAATTTGCAACCTCAGCAGCTGAGTCACCAGCGAGGAGTCCTGAGGTCCTATTGATATCAGTTATGACAGCAGTAATGTAGACGGACTGCTCGGTGTGGATGCTGAATCAATGTCGTGCGACGCAAGCAGTCTCAAAGGTTATTCTTCCAGATAAGAGTCATTCCTCTGATGAGATTCCTGCTCAGCAGCTCTGAGCAGCTGATATCCAGAACATTCTTATCTTATGGGTCAGGGCAAAAGCCCACAAGATCACTGCAAAGTGACAAGACAGTCCACGTACTATATTTATCCAGTTTTTATGGTAGAATTATTTTAATTGCGAGAGACGGAATATCAGCCAAAAATCTAGAAAGAACACTTTACGTAAAAAGTTATACATGTATATGCCTCTGAAATTAAATAAGTAATTGATCTCCACGTAAAGCATGGCTCGGTAATTGGCAGAAAAACCCTTGTTGGCGAACGCAGCAATAAGACGTTTCTTGTAAATGGTCTGCACACGTCTCAAGACAGATTTTGGTCCATTTCTCTTTACAGAAACTCTCTAAATCCTTTATGTTTCTTAGCTGCTGCCTAGTAATTCAAAACTTCAGCTCCCACCATAGATTTTCTATAGGACTGAAGTCTAGAGACTGGCTAGGCCACTCCGTGACTTTAATATGCTTCTTCTTTAGTCACTCCTTTGTTGTCTTGGTGGTACGTTTTGGGTCATCCATTACCCATCTTTAATATTCTGGCTGATTAAAGTCATCTAAGATTTTAATGGTCAATGACCCCTCAGTGAGGTAAAGTCATCCTACACTCTTAGCAGAAAAACACATAATGTTTCCACTGCCGTGCTTGACTGTGGGAATGATGTTCTCTGCATCATACTCAACATTTCTCTTCCTCCAAACACAGAAGTGATGCCACAGAACTTGAATTTAGTTTCATCTGACCACAGCACTTTCTCCAAGGCCTTCTCTGAAACATTTAGATGTTCACTGGCAAACTTAAGACAGACATCTACATGTGTTTTCTTGAGCAGGGGGGACCATGTGGGTGCTCTAAGATTTCAGTTCATCACAGCGTAGTGTATTAAAAATGGTATTCTTGGTGACTGTGGTTCCAACTGCCAGATCACTAACAAACATTACAATAAAACTTACTAAAAAAAAGTTTGTTCACTTCATTGTAAATGAGCAAACTTAAAATTTAGCAGGCGTTAAAATAATTATTTTCCTCACTGTGTGCTTGTATGGCTTTTTAAGGGCATGGAGATAAGACAGGAAAGCCAGGAGGAGGGGAAGAAAAAGAGTAAAAGGGCAGGTTTGAACCCAAACCTTTTCATTAGTCTGACAGCATATAGGTCACCAAATCAACCCAGTGTATTCCAAATATATGGAATATATGCAATGACAATAAAGGGCTATTCTATTCTATTCTATTCTATTCTATTCTATTCTATAGCCTGAGTAAAGCAGTAATTTGTGACATTGCAGTGGCATAAGATACTTGGCTTTATAAATGGAAAACAACTTACCCATGTAATCTGGCACTGGTGCAGTGTTTTTATAATTAATGCATTCCAGGCTTCCATCAAGATGTTTACCAGTGATTTGTGTTTCACCTTGACTGCTGGCATTTGTTAATTGGTGTCAGAC